TTTCTAATGGTCCGTCCCTAAGAAACCGGACAGCGGCGCTAGCCGAGTGTAGTCTGGGACGAGCGGTCCGAGGGAGGGAAAGGTTCTCTTCTGGACTTTCGTAACGTTCAGACGTGGCTGAGCTGTTACCTAGAAACAAAATGGAAAATAGACCGCTTTTAATTGGATCTGCACTTTTTCGTTGTTCTTGTATTTTGCTGATGTGCTTAACAGCCTGTGCATCAGAAACATTGCCCGAAAACCAAATGAATGTCCTCTTCATTGTGTCTGACGATCTCAGACCTTCGTTGGGAAGCTATTGAGATGCTGTGGTCAAAACTCCCAATCTGGACAAGCTTGCACAGCGTTCTGTGCGCTTCACGACAGCTGCTGCGCAGCAAGCCGTGTGTGCTCCAAGTCGGACATCATTCCTGACTGGAAGAAGACCGGATACTACAAAACTTCTTTCCAACAAAAAAGCTACTTACTGGAGGGATAATGCTGGGAATTTCACCTCTCTACCGCAACATTTCAAAGATGCTGGTTATGTCACCCTTTCTGCGGGAAAGATCTTTCATCCAGGTAGAATTCGTGGGGGTGGAGTGAGCGGGGGAGGAGGGGGGAAGACAGTACCGTTAATCTTTGTCATCCAACCCACATTGAAGAGCCATCCTTTTGGTCGTCACCAGGGTCGTCACGCAACCATTGACGGCTAGGAAAGATTGCGTGACAACTAATTTTGGGTTGAATAAGACTCATTTTCCCCAATGTAAGGTGATCAGTCCTAGATCTACAATAAAGAAATGACTTAATATCTTCACAGAACATTTAGGTTCAGTTATTAACCCTAAAATCAATGCCCTTGGAAAATGGGTTACAAAAACCCCACCAGTGTCTCTTCTAACAAGGGAAAATCATAAATTATCCCTCCAAACTCTAGAAACATTTTTGGGTGTCAGGATGTGTTGCAGTGGCTCTCTCTTTTGCAGAACCTTTAAAAGGTAAAGGAAGTTTACTTATTTCCTTGTCACCAATCTGTTTCCAAACATTATTGTATAAGATGCTTAGAAATCTTCATCATACACAAATGTCACAAATTTATATCAATATTTCAGGAAAAGCATCAAACTTCACTGATGATTATCCATACAGTTGGTCTGTTCCCGCCTATCATCCCTCAACAGAAAAATTCAAAAATGCACCAGTGAGTAAAAAATAAAATAATGGTATGACTCTCATCAGGGCTGTCATTAAATATTTTGAGTCTGGTCAAGGATATTAATTGTTCAGAGTGCAGCAGAATTTTCACTGTATTTATTTTTAGTATAAATCTACTTGTACATAGTGTTCTATCATGAATGCCGTTCTCTGATGGGCTATGCTACTCACTATCTATTCTGGTGTAGATTGTAAGTAGCCTATCGGTGTGCTCTAATGTTAAAAAAAGTCTTTGAGTTTTCAAAGTGTCTGTGAAGAGGATTTAGATATAGTTTTGAATGAGTAGTAGATTGATACTTAAACAATTAGATTATTTGCTCTGGATTTCTATGTATGATAGTTGACTCAGGCTACACCTTTGTCAACTATCATGCGATAGAAATCTCAAGCTCATTATCTAATAGCGGAGCTTCGGCGGTCAGAAGGGCCTCAAAGCAGAGCCTTGTAGTAAACATGGCTAGCGGTGTTGCTAAACAGTGATGGTGATAACAACGCCACACAACATGGCGGCCGTACTCCAGCTAATAGGACATGCAGCCTTAGTTAATATCTTTGATATAATGGACATCCATTTTATGGTCAATTGACACCTGCCAAAATAAGGTATCTGCTGACCAGTATCTCATGACCATATTGTGGGTTCAAGTTTTGAGCTCATCGAAGTCACATGGTTTTTTGAAGTCAACGGCTGACTAAGTACCGGCTTTTCGATTGGATCACAGGCTCAAACCAGGTTAACTTAATGTAATCAGGGCCGGGTTGTTTAGAACTGAGCCGGTTATGCTAACCCAGGATTTAAAGTTAACCGAAGTACAAACTTTTCTTGTATAAAAATGTTTTTCACTGCTTATGTTTTGTGTAACTTGAGATTATTCAAACTTAGAAGGCCAGACAATATCAGCAGAAAACCTCGCTGCCAAGTTAAAAAACTCAAATCAAAATTCTCACTTATCCTGGGTTAGCTCATTGAGGCTTTGAACAACCTGGCCCAGGAGCTCCGCTTTCAGGCTTGGCTAAATCCATATATTATTTTTTTTTTTAATGACTTCTCTTGTTCATAATTTTGTCAATAAGTTTAAGTCTATGGCATCCATAAACTAATGGCAATGAGACCTGAGAGACAATATCTCAAAGACAGGCACACACATTCTGCATTGTAACACTTTATTTCAGAGACCTGTCACGCTCAAAGGTAAATCCCAGTAACATGCGTAACATGCCACCAATTCGTGATCTCAAAATCTCTCAGGGATTCCCAGTTGAAAACAATCACCCCCTTTACATATCACAACAAACCTTTCATTTCCTAAGTAAGGCCACTGTTATCTACATCTGTAAAAGATGGTGTGTCAATGGTTCCAGTCATGTCTCTCACGTGTCCACCTCATGCCCCTGACCTCTAGTCAAGCACACGCTCCTCGTTGCATTCAGTCTTTTTGTTTGTGCCAATCCTTCGCCACTGATTTTTCTTTCTCCCTCCCCTCCCCCCCCCCCCCCCCCCTCCCCCCCATGACTGGGACCCTTGCCCTACACATTTGAACCCCTGATACTACGCTTTAGGACCATCTTTAAGTGAGTAAACAAAATCAGTTAGATCTAATAATTTGTCTTTCCCAACACAAAAAAAAAGGGGGGGGGGGCAAGCTTTGACACTACAATTCAGAACGTTGTGGATAGATACTGAACATTACTATTCCATTACGTTTAGAAAAACATATATCGCTATATATCATATATCCCTAGATATCATTTGTTTATTATATATATATAACTAACTGCAGACAGTACTGTTTCGGCCTTCTGGGCCTCATCAGTGCAGTGCTGAAGACTAGGATGGAGGCTAAGCTTAAAAAGCT